TTAGGCCAGTTAAGATGTTTGGATCCAAAAATCCTGGCGGACTGCTTTATTTTCAGATAACCTCTTGTGAGTAAGTTCTCTCCCACATGGACGCTACCAAATGAATACAAAACCTTGAAGTGGTATGATTTTGATAGAGGGCCTGAATGTTACCGAAATGAGAGCATTATCGTAGGTGTGCTTTTGTCATTGTTTGTCTTTTTAGAGAGCGGACAGGATGGTAACATTATGACTCTTTGAGACTGGTCTTTCCACAAAAAGATGTTTCCGTCAGATTAGAGTGCTTCTTTTTCTACTTGCTGTACCCTTATTTTGTCTTCTATATACATTTTATCGTTTTCTTCTTCGATTTGGCAAGCAATGTTATAGCTTTATTATCGTTTAAAAAATTAAGTATGAATTTTTAATACATATATCCCTTCTATATGTATTTAATATTTTTTATTAACCGATTCCCATTATAGCATTTATTTTCTTCAATATGTTCATAGTGGAAAGTACATGTTGAATAGACATACATACTTAGAATATGTGACACGATTATTACTTTTTTGAAGACCGAACTTCTTAAAATATTTAGGCCATCTGCAAGAATAAGGCTTCACACTTGAATATAAAAATAAATACTTAAGGGTAAAATTGCATAATAACTTAATTTTTATGCACTACTTATAATTTTCATAGCCTTTGACTTAATCCAGAGTGTAATTTTTATAATTTTACTCCATATTGAAAATTTTAAATTTCCCGTTTTGCTTTTAAGCTATCTCCGTAAAAAGAAAGAGTTGGCGGAGGCATCCGCTGCTGCCAGTGCCGCAGAATCATCTCGCTTGTCTATAAGATTAGGTCAGTTAGAGGCGCGTGTTGATCAATTAACCCAACAACTAGAGGAGGAGCGCACTGCTGCGGAGGTTGCCAGTGAGACAAGTCAACGTTACCAAGAGGTGATGAGTAAACTAGAACAGTTCAATCTGATCACAGAATCCAATCGTCTTTTAAGACATGAACGTGAGACTCTGCGAAAAGTCCTATCCGAAACGGAGAGCCGAGTAAGATCTATATGGCAGGCTTTAGATTAATTATAATTCTTTTAATTTATCTTTACTATCTTAGTATTATTGAGCATTTTCGTCGTATTTGTTATCTGATACTCGACTAATGCTCACTTATTTAAAAGTGGGGGAGTATCATTAGCCAATCGGTATTGATAATTTATGCTTATAATTAATCCTTTCACGACTAATTACAATAAAAATTGTTTTAAGTAAACCTATAAGTGTCTATAGAACTGGGTTGACCTCGTCGCAACTTGGTCTTGTTGTCAAAGTGATTTAATACTTACTTATTTAAGATAGGTTGTAATTCTTACTCAACCCATCCTTCATGAATTAACTATCTGTGGCCAAACCATTGTTAGAAAACTGAGACCTCTTAAAGCTGGCAGTCCCATTTTCTCCATCCTAATAGCTCTGCTGCTCTTCACGTTATTCTCTTAATTTTCTTCTGCCAGCTGGATGTTGTTCGTTCGGAGATTGAACCTCTTAAACTGACAAATCGCAGCCTATCCGATGAAAGAGATCTACTCAGGTTGGAAAAGCAATCTCTTCTTGATGAGCGCGACCGCTGGAAGGAGCGTTGCAATCGACTTGTTGAGACGACTCAGCGCATGGATCCAGAGCAATATAAGATAGCATGGCGAGTCTATATAAATTTCTACACCTATCTACACAAATTAAATATTCTAATTATTTATTTCGTAAAAAAGAGATTGATCATGCCTCTTGATTTCATACATTCTAAGTAAATAGTTTGATGCTTGAAATCTTCATTAAACTGACAGATGAGGTGAGACTGCGCACGTTTTTTAAAGTCTTCATGTTGCACCTACCAAGTTTTGAAAAAGGGGTCAATCCATCTATAATTCGCATGCTCTTATAGCTCATCCCGCCCCAATCATTTTTTCGTTTTCTTGCGC